GAAACACACATTGCTCCCCTGTGAACACATCAAGGATCACTAGGTCTGCATTTAAACATTAGGAGAAGTAGAAAATTCCTATCTAATAATCCTGGATCTGGTTTTTAAAAGTCCAGTGATCTGACACATATGTCAGATGGAGTCAGTGCACGGTAGGATGAAAAATGTAGGCAGGGGGATTGGATAGAGTAGAAGTTAAAGCTATGAACACTGACAGCAAATAAAACAATTTTAACTTAAATTGTCACAGAATTTGGTTCATCTTCTCACCTTTTAATGTTGGAGGCAGCATTATATTATGCAACTTCACATTCTGTCTGATTGTACAGATGTATGATTCACTCTCATCGTTAAGGATTTCAGAGTCTTTGGTCTTCAAAATGGCGGTGGCTTTGAGGAAGAGTGAAAAGGAACAAGATAACTGGATTAAATATCATTATTAATTTGTTTAATTATTAACTGCTGTTCTGCCTACCAAAGCAAAAGACAAAAACATCTCTCAATGAAGAAAAATATTATTTCAAAACATACTAAACAATTATGGAAGCCAAAGCCTCAATCAAATCACATAGTTTTAACTAAGGATATGCCTTGAGTGTCTGAACAGGAGGCTCTCTTTTGCATAATTCATAATCTTTCAGGGTTTGCTGAAAGACAGCCTCTGAATATAAATGATTTTGTGTTTTTGAAAGAAGAGCTCACAAATGTTTTGTGTTTCTTTTGTATTTTCTCTTTGGTATCATCTTTCAGTGCTCTTTCACCCTTTACTATGTGCCGAATAACTTGAAAAATGTTTCATCCAACAGTGTTGCAAGGACTATCAGCAGCTAAGGAAAACATCTGAGGGAAGCAGAAATTCTGAATCTGTAAAAGGGACCAGAATCCAATCAGAAGTGTGTTTTCTTCAATTGTTCATTGTCGGCTGCTGAGCTCTTACTAGAGCCTTCCATCTTGGATTTGTGTGTATTGGGATTATTTGTGTGTCTACCTGATTTCTTTCAGGATTTTTTCCTTTGTAGGCTTTCCAGGGGTCCTTTACATTTTTGAATCATTTTTGCTATTGCCTTGCCTCCCTACCGCTGCCTACTGGAATCAAACAAGAGAAATGGAAGCATCAAATGGTGGGGAGGGGAAAAGAGAAATATCATCATATTCAGAAGACTGATACTGTATTTTTTTTTTGCCTATATTTACTTGCTTTCTTTTAAGGTTTTTTTATTTTCTGAAAGGTTTTTTTGATGTTTTCTTTTGTTCTTAATTTTGCTGGGTTTTTTCATGAGTCTTCTCTAGTTAATAAATTTTTAAAAATTGTTATTCAGTTAATTTCCTGTGTATTTATTCTGGTAAAGATATATGTTTTGGTTTGGGTTTTGGAGGCTGTTTTATTTGTTTCTGTGCAAGTGTGTGGGCCAAGTGGTGGGCTTTGCGATTGGGTCTGTCTCCCACTGGGCTGTGTGTGTAGCGGTGATTGTTTGGGCACAACCTAGGTAATTTCTCTCTTCTTTTTCTAATGATTACTTTTCTTTCTCATGTACTGCTACTTGCTTTTGCAGTAGTCTGATTCTCTATTGCCTTGCCCCTATTTTTCTAGAGTATTTTAAAGCAATCTTTAGGATTTTTGGAGTGTCATAAAACACAAACGGGGAAACACGCATGGGAAACTCAAAAGAGGTTTTCCTTTTTATGCAAAATGAAAGGATGTTTACAGAGAAAATATGAAAATGAATGAGACACGCCTGAAAGAACATAAAATGAAAGAAACTTTTTAAAAAATGCATTGGACATTCTTAGCTTTGATTGCCTGTTGAAAATTCAGCAAGGTTAGAGCCAGACTAACATCTGAATGGAGGGAGTTTCAAATTAGGCTTCTGGGGATTAAATTTGTCTGTCTTGACTTTTCTTTTTTTTTTTTCCCCATCCAATACTGTGTGATCATGTCAGAAAAGTAATGAAGACCAACTGGCAAAAATCCAGATGAAAACGATGGGGCAGGTACCTTCTCAATTGGTCACATACTGCTTGTGAGAGTGAGAACATACCTGGTTTAAAGAAATTAGCATTATCTGCTTTCATGGGGCTCCCGCACCACTTCAAAAAAATACCACCCAAAATCTGTTCTTAATATTCATAACGAGAGTAAATACAATATATGTAGCTTGCTTATTCAGATGAATAGTTTTAGCTGTGTTGTTTTGTAGAATTTGATGGGAGTGGTGATGTCAATGTGCTTAGCCTTGAAGTCTGAGATCCCACTAGGCCCCATGTTGTGCAACAACACTTCTTTTTTTAGTTTATATTTTTATTATTTTTAAAACAGAAAAGAAATACAAAAATACAAATAATAGTGCTTACTATACGCTGAATTCTGCAGTGCACCCCATACCCACGGGACCCCATTGAACAATATTTTTATTACAAACTTCCTTTCCAAAATTGTATAGATTGTTGTTTAGAGGCTTTCCCCTTTCCTTTCACTAATACAAATTCAACAAATCTACCCCAAATAGCATAAAAAATATTTGAACTTATTTCCCCTATTTTTCATCTTAAGTTCAATAGTTAATTTATCATTTAATGCAATGTCCCATACTTCACCATACCAATCTTCTAATATCATTTTTGTTTTTCCAACACCTAGCTGTTAATATTCTAGTGCTTGTCATAACGTTACTAATCAATTCCTTCGAATAATAATCAAGATCTATTTTATCAAATATTGATAACAAAGCAATTTTAGAGTTAAATTAAATATTACTAAATATTACTAAATATTACTAAATATATCACATATTTCCTTAAAAATCAGTTTCCAAAATTTCTTAATCAAGAAGTGGTTTTGTGGGCCACTAGAGTCTCCTCTGCAGGACCCTATGTGATGTGGACAGTTAATGTCTCTTAGCTTACTGAAAAGACTGTCCCACTCGTCATCTCTTTCTTCATCTTCTTTCAGAATGTGGAACTGGAGCACATTGTTTAGGTACAGGTTGCAGAGAAGCTCCTCACAGTAAAATGGGTTTCCATGGCTCCTCTGTATTAGGAATCTAGTGGATGGAGATTCATAAGTGAGCTTCAGGATTTAAGGAACAATTCAAAAACTGTCATAATATCTTGGTTCTTCCATTTTCTGTTGCCATGTCATCAACAGCAAACACTAGTTGTATATGGACTTCACAATTGGCAGTTAGAAACTGTTCAGAGTAGCTCCAACTGTTCCTGATCAGATGGTCACAAACTGGCCAGGAGGTACAGAGATTGCTTTCATTGACTGCAAGGTGCCATCAGACATTTAACGTCTGGTTGAGGGCAGGAGGGTCCAGGAGAGCACCTCCTGTGTCAGCAGGGATTGAAGAAGCACATGGGCATGGACTGCAATTTGACCCTTGGGGCGAGTCCTCTCCCTTTTGGGTGAATTAGCTGTGTAACCCGCCCAGATCAAGAGCTATTTGCCCTTGGAAGGACATCAGTATCATAAGTGGGGAAGTAAGTACTGAACTCTAGCCCCTAGGGAATATATACAGAGAAATAACCATCTAAATGGGACCCATTAACTTCTAACTGTTTCTGCAAATGGATCCCTAGATTAAAGAAGGTACATACTGAAATGGTACATTAAGATCAAACAGGCTTCATCCCCAAATGGAAACTTACGTCAAATATAAGATCAATAATAGACATTTTGAAATATTATGAAACACATCCAGAAAAACAAATGATGCTGATCTTCCTAGATGCAGAAAAAGCCTTCGGTAATGTGAACTGGGAGTGTATGCTATTGCGATTAAAGAAGATGGAGCCAGAAGGAATTTTTTTACAAGCAATTAAAGCAATATACGCCAAACAGATGGCGAAGATCAAAGTCAATGGTCAAATAACTGAAGATATCTAAATCGAACAAGGCACAAGGCAGGGCTGCCCTCTATCTCTGTTGCTGTTTAATCTAATCTTAGACATTCTGAATAGACAAATAAGAGGAAATAATGAAATTAGAGGCCTCAGAATCAGGGGAGAAGAATACAAATTATAAACATATGCTGATGACTTAGCATTGATACCAGCAAACCCCCTGGATAGTATGGAAGAACTATTGTGAACAGTAGAAGAGTTTGGAGCTGTCTCAGGACTTAAAATAAACTATTAGAAAACTAAATTTCTGACAAAAAATATGAATATAGAGGATGTGGAAACATTGATAATGAAAACTGGTTTTGAGGAGATACAAAAGGTTAAATATTTAGGAGTCATTATTACAAAAAAGACAAGTAATTTGATGAAAGAAAATTATCTCTCAATCCAGAAAGAAATACAGAGAGATTTGGAAGATTGGAATAAGCTACAAGTCTCAATGATGGGACGAATCTTGATAATAAAGATAAACATTTTCCCAAAAATGCTATTTCTTTTTCAAAATTTACCAATTCTACTAAATTATAAATACTTTAAGGACGTGGGCAGCCTGACCTCGAAATTTGTCTGGAAGGCCAAAAAGCCAAGAATAAAACTTAGAGCACTATAAGACATAAAAGAGAGAGGAGAACTAGGGCTGCCGAATTGGCTATTATATTACAAGGCCTGTGCTATGGTTTGGATAAAAGAATGGATAACAATCCAAATTGAAGACTGTTGAAATTGGAAGGTCAAGGTTTAAAGATGGGTTGGCATGTATATGTATGGTATGGAAAAAGCAAAGAACAGACACATTTCTCAGAACATATTGTGAGGAAAGCTCTATATTTAATATGGCAAAAATTTCAAGTCCAAACCTATAAGAAAATTCCAATATGGGTAGCCCCACTAGAGGCCTTTACATTAAAAGTACTAAGCCAGGAGGGAGCTCTACTCACATATAGAGACTTGTCGACTAAAGATCAAATTCTGAAAAATAAACAAGATTTAGAGGGACTGGGTCTATCAACAGACTGGTGGTCAATGTTGAAATTAGAAGCGAGATATAAAAAGGATACAAATGAAGGCTTTTTGAGGGGAAAGTTCAGGTGGATGAACTATGAATTTACATGAAATGGAAAATCATCAAAAAAGTATACATATCTATTAGAGTATGATCTGGAAGATGAGAGGGTGAAAGAGGTGATGGTCAAATGGGCACAAAACTTTGGTTATAACTTTGATATAGATGACTGGACGAAATGTGGAAAAATATTTATAAGTTGATTAAACCAGTTAATCTTAGAGAAAACATCCTTGAAATGTATTATAGATGGCATTTTATTCCAGTAAGATTGGCAAAAATGTCAGAAGGGATTA